CCCTAGTGAGCATAAACCACAAAAGGAGTTCAGTGACTCTTGTTAGCAGCTGGGGCCACCAACGAGGTGATTTAATGTGATTAAATTTGGTCTCTGAATCAGGAATATCTTAAAACCTCTGTCTTCCAGAAGCAAGGAGGTAAGAGCAAGGAACAACTAACAGTCTATCTCCCCCATTTCCCATACTGTTTCCCAAACTTTCTTTTACTGATCACCACTGGGGACTGAGTCACAGCTTATGTGGCTCCTTGGTCTGACTAAATATGGGAGTTCTTATGTCTTTCTGTTGTGGCCTCAATCTTTAAGTCTCTTCTGACTGAATTGCTACAACTTCTTTTCTTATTCCTCCCATCCTTGGACCCATGCACCAGGGAAGAGTTCATATAAGAGTTTATGTTAAGTGCTTTATGTCTGGAAAGGATCAGGGCAGGAAGCAAATACAGGAAAAGGCTCTTTAATGGAAGCCTGTAGGCTCAGCCCATGGTGTCTTTGATGTGACAGTCTCTGGGGTGGTGACTTGCGCTGCTGTTCTTGGAAGCTAAGCCACACTTGCACCATTCGATCTACATGGAGCGTTGTAAAACAAGTGGAAATGGCATGAACAGTGTTACGTGACCTGGAGATGAATATGAAACCTTCTGTCATCTGATCTTTTAGGCTCTGGGACTTTAAATGGCTCTGTAACTCACAATTTCTTCCCAGCGATGCTGTAATTGTGCCTGAAGCAGCAGTTCAGCACCCAGTCCCCTCATCTCCCATTTATCCCCTCTCTCACACAACTCTTTGCCCTCTTGAGAGGGTACCTCTCTGCTGTCTGGGCTCTCATTTTCCTAATGCTGTCATTGCCACACTCTCCAAATTGTGGTACCTCCCTGCTGAGGTAAGAATAACCCCAAATTTCTAAGCTTCTGAGTTGTGATGAAATGCATTCACACCACTCACGCTAGGAGAGCTCAATTCACTAACTTATAATACAACTCAATGTGTTTCAAATTCCACCTCCTGCCATTTACAGTGGGATGTGAGTTCCTTCTCAGTGCTGCCTGTGAGGGCAGTTATAGCTGTTTTCAGAGCATGGATTGCTTACTTTTTCACTCCAGAGAGTGAAGGCAGTAATTTATCAAGGAGAAGGGAACCATGGAGCTCACTGTCATAGAATACTGTTATGACTGTTTAACAAGTTTTCAAAAAAGAGACAGGTCATTTTCATGAATAACAGGAACATTTAAATTCAAATTAAGGCTTATAAATTTAAGCTAGCTTCCATCTACCAGGAGCTAGGAAAAGATCAGTGGAGGACAAATTACCCCTATGAGTATTATGTGTTTCTTCCTCAGGCTTTGAGATGAGTGAGTATGACAAGGTTGGCTTTGCCCTTTGACGAAACATCAGCTGTGCTGCAGGTCTCCTATTACTCACCAGCTCTGTTGCCCAATCTGGGACATGTCCTTCATTCGCTGTCCACCTCTGACTCCAATCTATATAAACTTTATGCACAGGGCAAGCTCCTGAGCCCAGCAGAGCAGTCTCATGTGAATAGTGCCTGAAATGAGGGGATCCTCATCCCTGTATCCCTCTAGATGCTTTACACAGACTAAATTATGGTAATAGCATTCGTGGCAGTGCCTGTAAATGGGAGCAGCTTTCTCAGGTGGTTGGCAAGAGATCTTTCCCTTGCTACATCAATAGACTTTGCTGCAGTCCTCCACTGCTCTGCCCTGCAGCCTCCACACACTATATTAATCCTGCTGGTTCTCCCTCCCCAGTATGAACCTGACACAGTTATTTCTTGAGCTTTTCCTGCCCTTGGCTATGAATTGCATTGCAGGCCCTGTGATTTCTGTGCTAGTAGTAGTTAGAAGACAGAAACAAGCAGAAACCATGTGCTCTGGGCTCTCTACAAACAAAAACAAACTTTGAGTCTCCAGTTGGGACTCTGACTGGAAGAAAAGGGAAGAAATTTAAGGAAAGGGAAAAGGTTAAAACCATTCTGTGCCTGGGGTCACATCACTTTCAGATGTGTGTTTCTCAGCCCGACTATACTGTTGTTTCCATTAAAACCCGAACTGCAATTAACACCAGCAGAACAGCGGCCCAGACATCACAAAAGCAAATCCTGCCCGCCTTAGTGCTGCTTTGGGGTGGGGAATGTGGCTCAGGAGAGACTGCAGCCAGAAAAGCGAAAAGTTTGCTCTACAGCCTCTTCTTCATTGCTCTGTTAACCCTAAAGACATGAAGCTTTTTTAGCAGGTGAAAGCATCTGCCTCCCATCTATGTCATTCACAGAGTGTCTCAGAAAGGGAATGAGGCCATGGTACAAGGATACTGGTACCCAAAGTATGGCTTTTGCTAAGGGTAGTGGGACATGGTAGCCAACTGTCCCTGTTTCATGTCCAAAGCATTATTTCACAAGGCTTCAGCCTTCATTTTGCTTAATTCCAGCTGCTGGCCACATTCATACTTTACTTAATTTTACACCAGGAGAACATCTTCCTTGTTTTGAAAACAAGGAGAGTTTTTATCATCATTATCTGTAGAGCCTGGGAGTTCCTAACACAGACCAGACCCTTGTGCTCTGGGTCCTGAACAGACACCACTAAAACTTGCTTCTGCCCCAAGCATCCTGCAGTCCAAGCAACAGCCAATATCTAGATACAGAGTGACAGGCAAAGAGGACAAAACAGTGTGAACCAAGAAATAGGAGAGCAAAGATCATGCAGCCAGTAAGTGCTGAGTTTGTCTTTATATTCCAAGACACAGAAGAGACTGCAGTTTTGATGACTGTGATCCTCCTGGGGGAAACGCTCTTTTTATGAACTGAACCAAAAAGTCTACAACTATTTGTTTGATCCTATTTGCCTCTGTGCCCAGACCAATGTACTGCTGTAAGTCTTGTGGGAATAAGATTTCTTCCAGACAGATTTAGTGATGTTCCAGCATATGAAATGTTTAAGTTACATCGACATGGAGGTGTGCAGCAAGGATTTTTTTTTCCACTGATTTTTCTTCTCTTTGTCAAGAAATACATTCAGGTGGCAAGGGTGCTGGATCTGTTTTGTTGTTAGAGCTCCCACAAACAATTAATTTCATGCCGGTAACTCTACAGTTTGATCTGAATTTCCTCCGTTTCTAGTCCCCTGCCTCCTTCTCCTGTAGAAGCAGAGTTTCAAATGCCTGCCTTAATCTGCTAATCCTTAACCTGAAGGGAGGGAATAAACCATCGAGATGAACAGCAGCTGCAGGACGTTTTTGTGCAAAACGATCAACAGAGAACAGAGTTTAAAAGCATGTTTCGAAGTCTGTCCAGAGCCAGATGGGTTCCTGGTTCCTTCATGAAGGGCAGTGGGTGTTGGTTGCCTGGTTTCTTTGAAAGCCCTAACCGTGAACCTTTGCCTTTTGTTGGAGGTGGAATTTTCTAAGTGAGACATGTCTCTGACACGTCCGCTGGTAGCACAGGTTACACTGAGAGCAACGCTTTTGGGGTTTGTAGCTAAAATAAAAGCAAATGGATCCGAGCAGCTGGAGATTTGTTTTCCAAGTTGACTCCAGTCATGAGTCGCTGAGGGTCTCAAAACCAAATACCAGTTTCATACCACGGGCCTGAGCTGTTAAACACAGAAGCTATTTTAACATTGACTTAGTAGGGTTATACCTACAAGCAGCTTTCTGTAAGGTGCAGCATCTCACATGTGGGAGGTTTTCTATTTGTTGGTTTTTTTTTTTCTGGATTGCTGTGAAATCTTTGAGAGGTTTATGAGGCCGAAGGACATAACAGAATTGCTTCTGGCCCTAAGACTGACTAATCGAGTCCTAAGAAAAGTGCAATAAGTGTTTTAGGATAGCAAAAGAGTGCTTGTTACCAAGAAGGCTGGCTTGTTTGTCTGCCAAAGACCTGAGGCAACAGCAGTGTTGGTTTCTGCATTGTGCCTTCTCTTTTTGCTGTCACTGGGATGAGCTGTGTTCAACTGGAGTTGGGCAGGTTTCAGAACACCACTTTCTGTTTGTCCCACATTACTTGACAGCTTCCTTTGCGAGCAGGGAAGTTGATATGGCAAATGCAGACTCCTAACCCGATGATCCCAGGCTGTGTGAGCCCCTGTGGAAGTGATTTTAATAACTGGATGGTTGAATTAATGACTTACTGTCATTGACTGGCATTAGCGACTGAATCTCTAATGAGGAACTTTCTATCTAGCTCCAGTGACACTTTGGTTGCTGGCATCAGCATCATGCACTGTCTGCCTCCTGGAGCCATTTTCGGCAGCAAGCACTATTTCAGATGTCCCTTCTTTTGATTTATCACACTGTGTCCCAACTTACTGTAGTTTTACGCTGTGCTCGTATTTTACATTGCACCTGAATGGGGGCTGGGGAAGGACTAAAAGCAGACACA